TTAAAAGTTGAGCCGAAGAATACTGAAATCTAAAAAAAAATTTAGAAAGTACCGAAGAATAAAACACGTAAAATCCAAAATGTCTCGAAAAACATGACGAATCACAAAAAAAAACATAGTCTTACAAAGTTCCGAAAGAAAAAAAAAATCGGAAAAATTAAACACATATACCTACATACATAGATATACATATATAATTCAGAAATTACTTCAAAGATTACTAGAAGTTCCTAAATGTTCCGGGAAAGTTCCGAAAGTTCCCTTAAAATAAAATAAAAACAATAATATTCTTGAAAATTAAAAAAAAGTCGAAAAGTAGCGAGAAAACGTCAAGAACTCTAGCAGGAAATTTATCGAAAACGCAAGAAAATTTCGAACAACTTTAAATCTCGAAAGAGTGTACAAAAATTTTAAATTCTCATAGCAACCTCAAGGGAATAAAAAAAAAACTGAGAAGTAACAAGAAAACGTTAGGTTGGTTTTTCGGCCGTTTATTTAAATTGTTTTTTTTAAACTTAAGCCGAGGATAAATAAAACAATTAGATATCTGATTTCCTTTTTGTTTATTATTGCCGACCAGGCAAAGCCAAGATTTCCTGAAGATGCCTTTAAATTAAAGGCGAAATATCGACAATAATAAACAAAAAGGTATATAAAACATCTAATTGTTTTCTTTACCCTCGGCCTTAAGCTTAAAAAAAATTTTATTATTTAAAAGAATGTTTAAAGATTTCAGTTATGTTTTTTGTGAATAGAAATGGATAAAATCAGTTTGGTTTAGTACCTCAAATTTTTTTAAATTGAAAAAAAACTAAATATATACATATATAAAAAATACTAGTAGACCCACGAACTTCGTTTAGCTCAAAAATATTATTTTCTTATATTTTGGTCCAACACGAATTCCAGCGGCACATATATCCGCTTTGGTTGTGGTGGCATATCTTCCATTGCAGTCTTAAATGACCTAACCAAAGTACTGTGTCCGTGAAGAAGTTCTTGAAATTCTCCAATGAATGTCGAAGTAATCGAACCATAATCGCAAAAGAAATGTGAGCGCCAAATGTTCTCATTTAGTATTTTTGATCCGAACTCTATAATAGCTTTTTCATATCCAGCAACTGAAAAAGTAACTGCTAAAAATTTACAGCACACTCTAGCCCAACCTAGCCTACATAATTTTTTAGTATTGGGACTATTTTGAACCTAAGAAATCATTTCATTTGTGCTATTACGATAAAAAATTTCCTATACAAAATATATGAAAAGTAAATTTTCCTGGAATTTACTATTTTTCTGCACATTTTTTCAAGTCAAAAAAGTTGTCTTGGGGAGAGATAAATGCAACAAAACGATAGTTCAATAGGACGATTCGTTATAGAATAGTGCTCGGTTTTACATAAGAAACTTTTCTTTATATAATAGCGACTTAAATTTTTAGCTAGTTGGCAATCCTATTTAAAATGATTACTTTTGGACAAAAAAAACATTTCAATTGTTTTCACTTGCCAAAGGAGTATCATGTTTTACTTGATAGATATATTTAATTCAATATATATTTAGATACATGGCAACCCCTTTTAAAAGATTTTATTTTTTAACCAAAGCGGTGGAGGTGAATTTTAAAATGCAGTTTTACTCATTAACTTGATAGAGCATCATACAAGATATGGATCTGCCTTGACCTAATGCAACATTCTTAGCCCTTTAAACACTTTTCTTAAGAAATAAATGAGTTTGAATAACGTGGCTATTTTTCGCACGTACGCGGGCTTCCCCACATCAAAATGAGGTATCAATCATTGAATTTGATAAAATATTAAGGGAGATATCGCGCGGTAACACAAAAATACCTTTGAGAAATAAGCATATAGATATTTTATCTTATCTTATATGTATATATGATGTATGTATGTATATAACAAGTAATTTTTAAGCAAAAAACACAACCGCCTTCAATTCTCATATAAAAATTTAGGAGCTCCATTAATTTCTTCATGATCAAATGATCGCATCTAAACCAAATTAGTATGGGACCACCATCCCGATAGAAAAATTATCGAAATCGCTTGACGAGGTCCAAAGTTATAGGGTAACATACATAAAAAAAAAATAAAAATAATATTCCGACCAATTGATATCCTTCTCCTTTTTTGAAATGGGTTAAAAATGAATTGCTGTCCGTTAGTCGCGCTAAAACTCGAAAAGGGCTTGACCAATTTGAATAATTTTTTTTTTTTTTTTGTTCACTATAATATGCGGCTGGTTCGAAAAGAAACAAATTTAGAGAGTTGCCACCTATTTGTAAATTTCACTTTCAGTAAGTTTATAAGACAAAGCAAATATTTCAATGTGGATGTCAAAAGAAAGAGGTTTAACAGCCAGTTTCACCAAACTATTTAAGTGGAAATTAACTTTATTTTTGTATTTAATTGTCATTTAAATAATTTTCAGTTTCAATAAACTATTTATTTAAGTGAGTAAAAAGTGGTTGTAAAACAGACTAGGCCAGCGAAAGCTTTCATTTGTACTGAGAGCTTTTGAAAGCTTTGGCACGCTGTGTTGTAAAAGCAGGGCTGGTATACAAGTAAGCAGCAGATGCACAATGATCAGGTGATTAAACGTGTAACACCTCTGAGTGTGATTATTCTTATTTAATTTTTATTTAAGCGAAGAGCATAGGTCACTTAAATCAAAATTAAAATTGATTGGTGAAACCAAAAACTCGAAAATTAAAGTAATTTTCACTTAAATAATTTGGTGAAACTGGCTGCAAGAACCGAGAATATTTTTTTGAGAACGGTTGCCACCTGTTTGAAACATTTAACTCATTTCATGGGCAAGTTAAATTAAATGTTACAGAATGGGTATCAAACAAACGGGGCTTAAGAAAGTTTACTGCCGAAAATATTTTTGAGGCGTGTTGCCACCTATTTGAAATATGTAATACAATTAAAATGATAAGGCAAGCTAAATATTACAATACCTTCAACTTGCAAGTACATACATGGCGTGCTTTGTAGCGGCTTCAAAGCAGTTTTGGTTTGTAACTCCCTTTGGCTACTCCCAAAACTCTTAGTTAAAATACTACAGGTATTTGTGAAGTAAGCAGATTTTTCCAAATTACATGCCAACAAATTTGATATAAATTTTTTATGGAAGATAAATATATGGTACCAGATTGCGTGCTAAGTAAAGTGTCATTTATTTCACTAAAAGTCAACATACTTAGATTCAGTTAAAAATATAGGAGATTTAAAACTTGTTTAGCCCCCATCAAAATATTTTCAAACTAAATTTTCTTAAACCTCTTTCTTGTTATATATTACAATTAACTTATTCAATGAGCAGGTGGAAACTCTGCTACATGTGGCTTAGAAGTAAAGACTTTTGAATGCATTGGTGTTGGTTGATTTTTCCGACTGGGCGGTAAGATGATTTATTTTGGAACAAATTCCTGTCATCCCTTGTCAAGTTTGGTTTGGAGACAAACTGGTTTCGGCGTTGTGCCATCTTCAGTTTAATTTTTCGAACGAAATAAATCACTTTTTAATACCATTTCGATTGATGCTCATATTGTAATAATGCGCTTAACTTATTAAATACGTTTATTTGAATTTAGTTTTAAAACAGGTGGCAACGCTCTTCAAGCAACTCAGAAAGTTTTACATATTCAAAATAAATATGTCTAAACACTCTTAAGTTTGACACTTTAACTTGTGTATAATTTAATGAAATTTGACTTTTCAAACAGGTGGCAACCTTCTTAAACATATTTTCAAACTTCAAACTTATTAAACATTTTTCGTCTGGCATCCCTGACACCCATATTGCGGTATATATTCCAATTAAAAAATTCTCTTAATTCAAGTAATATTTGATTTTTCAAATAGGGTGCAACCTTCTTAAAAATTGTTTCAAACTTCAAACGTATTAAACATTTTGCGTCTGGCATCCCTGACACCCATATTGCGGTATATATTCCAATTACAAAATTCTCTTAATTCAAGTAATATTTGATTTTTCAAATAGGGTGCAACCCTCCAACATGTTTACTCGAGCTATAGAATTACAAATTGAATTTCCGGCAGAAAGTCGATATTTTGCATACTTTCCAAACACCTTTAAAACAATCTTAGCTGGCAACCAAACTCCAAAAAGTAATAACGACTTTAAATGCTTTGTAATAGAAATTTTGTATGCAAATATTTTTGAATCTATTTAAATTTTTATGAATGGGGTCATACCAGTTTTGGGAGGGAGTAACAACACAAAAATACCCTTGAGGCGCAGTAAAGCACGCCGCGTATCTGCTAGTGTAATATCTACAGATTCTCGTGAGTATATGTCAGATTTTCAAATCAAATTTTCCACATTTCATTTTCGTAATGCAATTTATTTATTACTATGGTGAAAATTAAATTATGGGCTTTATGTGATTTGAAAGACTTTGCAATTTATTCCTGCCCACCGGGTAGTCGTAATGAGCAACACGCAAACGTGACCTGGCGACTTCTTAGCGTTACAAAACCTTGCTGACGGTCCTCCAAAAACGCATTTGCCGGACATGTGCTATGTTATCTGTCATTTGTCAGCCTAATATGTAAATTGAGCTATTAACTTATTGTAGCATTTCCACTGGGCACAGATACTCATCTAATTCCATAAAATTTGCGCCAAGTGACAACAAAGATAAAGAGATTTAGCTTCATAGCTCACATATGTAGGTATGTAAGTATGTCCATACATTCATATGCGTGTCACATTTACAGCTTTAAATTAGTTTACGCTCTTGTTGTTCAAAAACAATAATAACTTTTAGATTGTTCTTAATAGATACACATAAGGTGCCTTGCGAGTTCAAGATGTCAACGCGCTACACACAGTCGTTGATTTTTGAAAAAAAAAGTTAGTGAAAAAAATAATGACCCAGCTGTAGCTCAAATTCTTCAGTATACGATTTCAGTTTTATCATTTCTTCAATCAAGTAATCACTGTAGTCAAGCTTGAAGCGTCGCTCTGTTAGGTACACAGCAGCGGCCGATGGACAGTTTTACTTTTGCTGCATCCAAACAAAAGGAAATTCCGATTTATTTAAATAAAGAAAGTGAATGAAAATGTCGCTTAAAATAATTTGGCTTCTTGTAATTTTTGCACTAGCCACTATGGTGCTAGCGGCAGAAGCGCGCGGAGGCCGAGGACGCGGTGGTTCATTCGGCACTACATTTTATAGACGCAGTCATAAGAAGCACAGCTCCTCAAGTGGGACCAGCTCACGCCGTAAAGTCGTCAGTGGCTCACCAGTACATACCTCATACACGAAGGCACTGATTTCTGGTGGTCACAATACCGATCTTAAGTTGGGCAGCAGTCACAAAAGTTTTAGTAGTCACAGTAGCAGCAGCAGCAGTCACAATAGACACCCATACCGGGATGCATCGCATACAAACTATCACAGCTTTAGTCAATTTTACACACAGCCTCGCTCGAGTAGATACGGTTCGAGTGCAACTAACCACTATAATACGCTGGGTGCCAATGCTCACATATCGCACACTTGGGGTGGCCATCAGTTGCCGCCGGGACATGTATACGTTGCGCAACCGGCGCGCATGCCGCCCAATTCGGTTTACTATGCACAACCGCCGCGGTATCGGAGCAGCGCTGATGGTAAATATGAGCAGAAAACAATTTAAAATAAACTCTTATTAAATTTCTTCCTTTCAAATTCAATTGAAGATGCAACGGACTTCGTACTAGGCTACCTTGTTGGTCGAAGTCTTACACATCGTAATCATCATCAGCATTACTATCAGCACTATCAGGAGCAACAACCCACCAACGGTCAAACTATAAACACAAAAGTGAACTTAGAAAACAATACGGCCACCACAAGTCACTCTGTTACAAATAAAAACAACAACAACACAACAAATCAGACTCACTACTGGCCTACAGACTTTGCTGTGTCATTGGCGCCTTTGAACGAATCTCTGCTTGCGGAAGACATTACCTCATCACCCCGGGAAGCCATATTCAAGAGCCCACCAATTCACATCGCTCGTTCACTTAAAGTGGATAACTTAACATTTGAACTGCCAACAGCCACTGCAGCGCCGCCAGATATGCCACCCACAGGTGGCATAATCTGCATGCCTTGGCTATTTAATGAAACCGATCCCATTCATCCGGCGAATGTTGTCACAATTGAGAAGACAATTTGCTTCCCAGCACCATCACCGCCGCCGCCGTCAGCACCACAAACAACACCGCAATCATCCACGGATCCGATCGCTGGAGATATTGCAGTTCGAATCCTACAATAACAACAACTTAAATTACGGCAGCGAGTTTTGGAAAATGTTCATGGTTTTCAACTCTATAAAGTAGTTTTCCACATTCTTAAATTACTTATTAACTTTTGTACAATTTGTATTTCCTTGCTGAGTGCAAACATATATTAAAATCAAACTTCGAAAATGTACTTCCTGGTGCTTGAGTTATATTTTTATATAAGAACAGCTATAGATTGGCGCTTACCTTGATATTGTCACACAAAGCGGACCTAGTTTTACGCCGACTCCCTAAGTCGATTGTATTTTTATGAGAAACTGTTTTTTCATGGCAGAATACACTCGGAGGTTTGCCATTGCCTACCGAGGGGCGACCTATTAGAAAATTTTTAATTTTTTTGAATTTTTTTTGATTTTGGGTTGAACCCAGGCCCTGCGGAATGGTAGCGCGCACTACTAACCACTACACCACAACCAAGTCATAATATATAGAAGCTTAGGGCACATACCCATAACTCTGTCAAATACTTCAGAGCAGCTAATGGCTTTGTGGTTAAATCAAAACTCAACCTACGGTTATGGTTATGGATATGGTGGACAGTGAAAAATTGCCATATAAAATATGTAAAAATTGCAAATGTTGCTACTGCCACGCCCACTAGCCATATAAAAACCAAATTTTCTTATAACAAGATAATATCTACCATATCTGCCTTCTAATGTAGCGGGCGTGAACGTTAACAAATCTAAGCACATAATTTTTTATACTTCTTCATTCCTAGACAAATTTACTTCGTATCAAATTCCTGTAAAATCGTACAGCGATTACTACTTTTTGCCGCAGGTTATATGGGAATCTTCATTGTAGAGGGTGTAGTCTATAGAAGATTAACAAGGGTGACGCAGGCGGACGCAGCTAAAATTTAATTTGTTAATAGATTAGCGTCTGTAGAGTAGTTTTGTATCAATAACTTTTGACCTCTCGGCGCCGCAAGATACTAAAAGGGACTATAGCAAGCCTTGTGTGCTATTGAACTTGACTTTATAGGCAGGTCCAGCAACTACCAATCATTCAACTACCGTTGTTAAGTCTCTTAAATTTGATTTGTACTCGAATTTTTAAGCAAAAATACAATTCATATAACACCGACTTCCTGCGTTCCTTGAATCCTATAAAATGGCAATTTTTGCAGAAAAAAATCCTTTAGTCGCCTTGGTTTCGAAACATATAGAATCTTGAACTTTCTTTCACCCTCAGCGTTATAGTATGGTACCAATAGTCGTTTACGGAACTGCCTTTACGTTTGATTAGGACAAATGATTACCATGGTTATGGCTATGGTAAAGCACAACTAATTGGGCCTTTACAGAGCAATTCTAGCTAAAATAATAAAAAAGTTTTTCGCAAGACAAATGAAAGCCAGTTGGTAAAATAATTCGAAAGACTTTTGTTATTGTAGCATAGAAGTCTTAGAAAAACAAGTAATTTTTAGCAAAAAAAAAACCGACTTCAACTCTCATATAAAAAAAAATATATATATATATATCATGATCCGCAGATCGGATCTTAACCAGATTAGTATGGGACCACCTCTACCTTTCCGAGGCAAAAAGAATTATCGAAATCGGTTGACGTGGTCCAAAGTTATGCGGTAACATATATAAAACAAAAAAAAAAAAAAAAAAAAAAAAATATTCCGACGAACTGATAACCTCCTCCTTTTTTGGAAGTCGGTTAAAAAGCCATCACACTCGTGGTGAAAAGCTTTTTCGTTAGCCGCAGTAACCGAGTGTGCAAAGCGCTAGTGTGCCATTCGAGAGATACGGGTTCGAGTCCTCGGGTAGCGGATTTTTTATTCTTTTTTTTTAATTTGTTATTTAATTTTCTTTAAGTAGATATTATATTTCAATGTCATAAAAAGAAAAATTCTCATACATATTTTTAATTTCATTTAATCTTTAGAAACTATTTTTTTAATTTTCTGTTTAGATTTTATTGTTTTAGGCAAAAAAATTTTTTTTTTTAATTTCATGTAATTACTAGTAAGTGTTTCTTTTTTTAATATGATTTTCCTTTAAATTTCAGATTTTATTGCTTTAAAAAGGAAAACATATTTTTTTTCATTAAATTCTTAGAAACATTTATTTTTTTTAGGGCTGAGTGATTAATTAATTATTCAAAATTTTAATTAGTCATAAAGTAAATAAGTCAATTATTCGATTAATTGAAATTATGATTACTCAAAATTTCAGTTACTCGAGTAATCAAAATTTTTGATTAACCAAAAACAAAAATATTTGAGTAATTTGCTTTATGATTAATCAACGTTATGAGTAAAATGAGTAATCAACATTTCAAAGTACTTTTTACACATAAAGTAGTTGAACTTCCTTGATACTTTGAAAATAACGTTTTTGTTTTCAAAAATTAAAATAGAATCTTTTGTTTTCATATACAGATTGTAAAAACGAAAATAAGCATTTTCCAAAGCAAACTCTTTTAACGAGCAAAATTTTTTGAATAATCATATTTCAAGTAACTCGATTAATCATCGTTTTGAGTAATCAAAATCTTGATTACTCGAGTAATTGATTAACCGAATAACTGATTAACCAACTTGCTCGAGCAATTGATTAACCGAATAACTGATTAACCAACTTGCTCGAGTAATCGAATAATCGCACAGCGCTAATTTTTTTAATTGACATTTTTTTCTTTTTTAGTTTAAATTTCTTTAAATTTTTAGCTTTTACTGTTTCGAAAAGAAAAATACTTGCTAATTTCATTACATATTTAGTTGCATACTTAATTTTTTTATTAAATTAATTTTTTTTTTTGTAATTTAATTTTCTTTGATTTTGTATTCTAGTAACTTTGGATTTTGTATTATAAAGAAAAGTTCTTTTTTTTTTAATTTCGTTTATGTAATTTTTAGGAATTCGTTTTCTTTTTTCATTACATTTTCTTCTTTTTTAATTTAATTTTTTTTAATTTTCTGATTTTATTGTTTTAACAAGAATATTTTTTTAAATTGGCTTTCTTCTATTTTTAAGATTTATTATTTTATGAAGAAAAAAATTTTAAATTTCTTCTGTTTATATCTGCTTTTAGTTTTTTAGATTTGTTTTTCTCTTTTTTAATTAATTTCTTTTTAATTTTTAGATTTTACTGTTGTATAAAGAAAAATATATACATTTTTCAATTTAATTAAATTTGTAGAAATCTTATAGCTAAAAGACAAACAGAATAACGCTGAGTCCTCCTCGTTAGCAGATCTTACAATTAGTCTTTCGAAAGGAAGGGAAGAGCTTTCGAGATAGTTGCCAGATTTGACAATTAACTTACGAAAGACTGTAGTAAGTTGAAGATAGAAGGACAGTTGCCAGAATTGCCTGTTAGTCCAAAGATATTACGATGCAGTAAAAGCCACATAGAAAGTCTACTTTGAGTTCATAGCCGTTTTGCAAATTGTCTATATAAAGCACAGGAGCTGCTTTATTGTTTCAAAATAATTCTTCAATTTTTGTCTCAGAAAATTTCATACATAGCTATATCTACTTCCTTGGAATACTTCGTCTCGGAGCCTAGAAAGTACTAATGTTGTACTGTCAAGGGGATTTTATGGTAATTCTACGTACTTACATATGTATTTCAAGTTAGTCGTCACCAAGATATGTACTACCATCTCCAGCTGGTTGATGGGTTACTTCAAATAAGCATCCGCTTACCAGCGGTATCACAGTTGGTTTTTTTCCCACCGTGGTTTTTTTATGCGATATCAGCCAGTCTAACGTAACCCAATAATCATATGCATAGGTTTGAGTATACAGATAAACCCCAAAAGATCAGACCGTTTCAGCATCTTCCAAGTCGAATTTGCAGCAATAAAGGAATCTATTGCCTCACTGAATTTTACTTTACTGAAAACAACGGAGGGCATACTACGGATATGTGTGAATTTGTATCAATGATCGATGCTGATTTCCACTGAAACGGCACTAATACGGAACTGATACGGGCACTGATCTCTTTCGAAGACCCTAAGGGTGAATGCTAATTTCAAAAGTCGGACTTCAACATTCAACATATGTAATTTTGATCCCCAAAAATCGTCAAAAATAAAGCAGGCGCATCTAACAACAAGCAAGATCTGCATCTCTCTAAAATTTTGTTGCGAACCTTTTGGTGGCCTTGACGATCGAGAAGCCAGAATTTACTCGGGTAGCTACCTCGTTGCAGCTTAGATTTGCAAACGCTTCTGTGCAATGAAGAACTTGCGTCAGGCAGCGCGACGGTAATTCGACGTCACGAGGCAGAAGTTACAATGGATGCCCAAGAAATTTCGCTTTACTCAATCTCTTATCATCCTTTAACAAGCAATTCCTTCTCCCAAACTCTTTGTTACGCTTCGAAAAAAGCGCCAACCCAGTATTTACTCATATTTACTTAAAGTATTTAGTGCATTTTAATTTCGTAAATATTTTAGTGCGCGGTATTTTGTGATGTACACTATATAAACCCAATTGAAGTACATTTTCTAACTTGGTGGCAACCCGTCTCAAAAATATTTTCACCAGTAAACTTTTTTAAACCTCTTTAGTTTGAAACCCATTTTGTAATATTTAAATTATCTTTTCAATTTAGTTGAATAAAACTTTCCATACAGGTGGCAACACTCTTTCTTAAACCTCTTTAGTTTGATACCCACTTTGTTATATTTAATTTATCTTATCAATTTAACCTCTTAAACCTCAAAAACCCTCTTAAACCTCTTTCTTCTGACAGCCATACTATAATATTGAGTTTATTTTATCAATTTACATACCCTGAAATTTTCAAACAGGTGGCAACTCTCTAAATTAATTTTCTCCCAACCGGCAATTACGAACAAACTCGCAGAA